TCAGTAACATTATATGTAATATATAAAATATATTAGAATAACACTATTCTAATGTTATTGACTTATTGTAAAAATTAACTTTTTATGCAGAATCTTAAGCATAAGACTTGTTCTGTTATTCCGAAGGTAGAACTTGGCTCAAATACTGAAATTTACAAGAAACTGAGACTTGCTTACAGCAAGAAGGCATTCTGATTAGAGCTGTTAACAGTAAAACAGGTTGCCTACCCCTAGTATAAATCAAGTAGAGGCAGGATAGGATATCCACCTGTCATGCGACATAAAATAATCATAGTAATAACTACACTGAATTACTACTATTGGTTTTCAACCCTTTATGGACTTTCATTTGATTTCTCACAACTCCACTCCCGATGTTAAGCAGTTAGAATAGATTCTCTGAGTCCATACACTTGGTAGACCTCTCCCCACGAATTCTCAAGTTTATTGTAGGCTGATTCTAACATGGACCTTACATGCCAACAGTGATTTAAAATACCACTTTTGAGACTCCTGGTTAAACTGGGTGACATGAGCACAACATTTATCTCTGCTTCTTTCCCAACCCCATGCAAAAGGCTGGAAAGGATAAAAAAGGAATAAACCCACAAGGACAAAGAGCAAAAGAGAAGATGACAGCATGTGAGTGCATCACGAAAGTTTTGAAGGCTGGAGCTAACGGACAAATGGCAATGACTTAGGTTTCTGTCTTTTCCACTCTATGAACAGCCTGCAAAGGGGGAGAAGATAATAAAAATAAGCCAGTTAGCACTTCTAATCTTGGGAATTGGAAGCAATGGTTTCCGTGAAGATGGTGGCACTGAACAGATCTGTTCAAATTCTATATATTTTAAAGGTGCGAGTCCCAGGTTCCCTCCCCATTAATGTCATTACTGTTAACTGTTGGGTTTTGGTTTCCTTTCTTGCTATTGATTTTCTATTTCTCCCCTCTCTTCTTTGTTCCTCCTTTCCTGCCCTCTTTGGGGTTGGGCATTTTTAATTTTTAGTTTTCCATTCTCTCTCTACTGGTAGTTTTTGATCTCTCCGTCTTAGCGTTTTTTTTAGTGATTGCTTTAGAATTAAACATGAATCATTAACTTATCAGTCTACTTTGTACGAATATTACACCACTTCATAGATACTGTGAGCATCTCACATGAGAATACTATTTTCTCCCTCCTGCAACCTTTGTGCTATTGTTTCAAGGTTTTATTTCTACATATTTAAGAGACATTGTTTCTAATTCTTTGTATGTTGGTTCTTTCAAACAACTTTCCTAATACTGACTTTCTTCCTTTGAGAAGGGGAAAAAAGACAATAGGATAGAGAGTTACTGGAAGGTGAAGCAACTACGATCAGTGTTCCTTCAGTTATGGCAGTCTTTCTTCCCCTTTTACTCTGGTGTTGGAAGAGGAATCAACACTCTTGGAAGAACTGAAACAGACGGTGAACTAGGTGTCAGATTTGCATACGCTGATGAAGTAGCTTGGAATTTTTCACAGCTCATTCTTCTTTCCAGCTGACTTTTCCACAGGAAATGTGTTAGAAAGTTGAAGTTGCTGCATCTTTCGAGAACAGAACGTTTTGACAGCATGAGAAAAATGTCAGACTAAAAACTGATTTTGTCACAAGGTTCAGACTTTAAAAGTAACATTGCCACCTACTGAGTGGTTCCAAAATTTAGTCTTAAAATATTCTCTATTTTCAAAGGCAAAGAATGATAACAGAGAAACTTTTAAGCAATTTTAATCAAAGCATCAAAACTTGGCTCTGTGCTTTCTAAAATTTGACATGTAGAGGTTACAAAATTACCTTAATTGTGTGAAAATTTAGCTCAATTACCCTGATGTGGCTACACAGAAGAAAAAGATTTTAACTGGAGATATTCTGTGGCTCTGATGTCTGTGGCTGGCCAGGTGCAACCATCAGGAGTGCAATGTAGGAACGAGCCTTACCTACCACAGGGAGTCCACTTGCAGCTATCTCTTAAAATACCTAGGGTCAACAAAACAAAAAAAGTTTTGTAAGAAATCCAGGTATGATTTATTCTCTTTAATGCAAATAAGGAACCCTGGTGGCACTGTGATTAAGAGCTCAGCTGCTAACCCAAAGGTCAGCAGTTTGAACCCACCAGCTACTCTGTGGGAGAAAGATGTGGCAGTGTGCTCCTGTAAATCCTACAGCCTTGGAAACCTTATGGTGCAGTTCTACTCTTCCTTATAGGGTCACGATGAGTCCGACTCGACAGCAACGGGGGTTTTGGTTTGGTTTAATGCAAATGCCTGTGTGTCTCTCAAGATCTGAAAATTCGAAGTTTTCTTTTTGTAAAATTACTGAACATACCTGCTCGGGTTAATTTTATTAGAAATAATTAATGGATATTTTAGAAATTGGTGTATTTAGTTGGGTTTTCTGTCAAACTTTGAAGAGTCTATGTCCTATAAATAAATCCAATAAAACAATACCTTAGTTCTACACCAATTTTTTCCCAATATATTTCAACTTACAGCAAAATTATTTCTGACAAATTAAGAAAAGACTGATGGTCGATGAGATACAAAGCATTTTAAAATAGAAAGGGAGAAGAAACTGCAGCTAACAGAGGAGGCACACAACATTCCATGCTGGCTATCTCAGGGTGATGATGGGACACTCCCTTGTCCACTGGGTGCAAAGAAATGGAAAGTTAGGTAATTGATGAGAACTCAGCTGCAGGGAATGGATTTTAAAAACTCAAATGACTTAACGGAAGTCTGACCCTAAAAAGAAACGTACCCCATTAGCTGCTATACTCCGACACTTCCAGTTCTAGGCATTTTTGAAGTCATTTAGCAGCTTTCTGAATTCAACCAAAAAACGTCACCCACAGAGATGTAATACCCGGAGTTTTAATCTATTAACCTCAGCTGGCCTGAAACGGTAGGTCATGGTCCTCTTGGTTGGATGTTTATGAAACCAGAGAAGAAAGAAAAACAAGTACAGAGAAAATGAAATTATTCATCCTATAATATTGATGATTTTGTGTAAACCGTTTATACTAGTAACAAATTGTGTAATATTGTGCTGTTATGCTGTTTTTTAGGATGCTTAAAAATGCTTAACAGAATTTGTTCTACTAACTGTATGCCAGATAAGATCTATGTATGAGTTAAGTACTTAGTTTGTCAGATTATAAATCCACTCTGTTGTTTGTAGTTTAATTGATCATGTGATATTAAATTTTGAGGATGTAATCATTGGATATTAAACAAAAACATTAAGCAAAGAAAAAATAAAACTGTGTCTGTAACTGTTATAAATAGTAAGTATCATAGATTGAATTCTGTCCCCCCAAAATATCTGTCAACTTGGCTGGGTCATGATTCCCAGCACTGTATAATTGTGTACCATTTTGTAATCTGACTTGATTTCCTTATGTGCTGTAAATTCAATCAACTATGATCTAGTAAGACAGATTAGCAGCAGTTATACTGATGAAGATTGGATAGTGTCTTAAGCCAATTTCTTTTGAGATATAAAAGAAGCGAGCAGAGACACGTGGGAACCTCATACCACCAAGAAAGCAGTGCCACGAGCAGAGCCGACAGAGAAAGCCTTTCCCTGGAGCTGACACCCTGAATTTGGACTTGCAGCCTACTGGACTGTGAGAGAATACACTTCTCTTTGTTAAAGCCATCCACTTGTGGGATTTCTGTTATAGCAGCACTAGATGACTAAGACAATAAGGTGTAAGAAAAGAAAGATGTCTAGAGACAGTGCACTTTAATATATGGGATTATAATTAAAGCACAAGGACGGGATATTGCTTTCCATGTACGAAAGCACTTCTTGGGCATGAAAGCGCTAACAGTTTCTACCAGAATGACTGTCGTGCCTTCTACTTTAGAATAGCAGGGCTATGCAAAATGAGACCAGAATTAGGAGGGAGGAGATCAAAGAATCCATGTGTTCTAATGAAATTCAGCAGACTGTGCTCCTCTGGTTAGCCAAACTTCTATAAATTTGAGTGTCTTAAAAACTTAACTTTACAGCCTCACAATATATTAACATGAAAACTCAGCTCCTGCTAAGGCAAAATCTGTAATTACCACTGAGAAAAATACTGTCTAGTATTTTCCCATGTTTTGGAAAGTAAAATATCTAGGTTTAAGTAATTTTAAAAATCTAAAATGTTCCATCATCAAAAAAATATTGGTTTGATCAGACTATTTTCTGGCAAACATGAAGTCACATGAACCCACTGACCCACCATTTCCACAAATGTTCCCCACAGGATCTCTCTCTTGAAACTGAAACAATCTTTTGATCCTTAAACTATGACTGCCTTTTTATGGGAGAAAAAAACTTACCAAAACAAACTGTTTATTAGCCACAGGACATTTACTCAACATTCAGAGATCTGCCAGGAATGAAAAATGAGAAGAAAAGGAAAATGAATGAAAAACAAGACTGAGAGATCAGCTGATGAAGATAAAACACAAAGGGCACAGATGGGCAGGCTGCTGCACACTGAGGCTGCCCTGCTGAACTGCTGAGATGTCCGCACTCTGTGAAGGGCTGCAGTTCCAGAAGGCGGGTAGAAATAAAATCTCTATTTGGCACTACTTAAGCCAAAAAGTAGTAAAACAAACAAACTTGAGGTACTAAAAAACAAGGACAGAAATATAGGAACTCAATGAAATAAACAAACCTAAAGGTAAATCTCTTCACCAGCACTGTATGCAAATCTTTTGGACCATAGCATCATATTAAAAATTAACTTAAAATTTTAAAGTTCTCTAAATATTAGCTCTAAATAATAGAGCAGAGGATTGCCACAATGTGTGTTTGTGTACAGATAGATAATTGAAAGACAGACAAATGATAGATAGATAGGCAGTTGAATTTCAAAAGTTGTATCAGCCATTCACTACTTTACAATAATTCTTCCCAATCTGGTTTGAAAGGGGCGAACAGGTGACTTTTGTTCAAACTCCAACTAAGGAAGAAGTCAAGAGAAATTATATATTTGGAGTGACAATCCTTTAATAACCATATTCATTTCCAGAGAACAATAAATACAGAAATTGCAAGCAGTATATGTAACAGTAATATTTTCCTTAGATACAGAGAACAACTACTTTTACACAACTTAATGGGCAAACACTTTAACTGAAATCAGCACTGGAAAAAGCTACACAACATAAGAAAATTACAAGTAAAATTAGAAGTATTTATTCTTGACCCTAAATACTGAGATTCGCACTCCAGGTACACAGTCACAGGTTAAATGGGAAAGCTGGAAATTCAAAGATGAAAGCAGAATTCAGCTTCGGGCAGCAGCTGTTTGAGGCTGCTCAGATTGTAGCTGTTTGCCAAGATACTCCCTGGAAAATAGAAGTAAAATAATGAGATAAAACAGAATTTAAATGACAAAGTCTCAAAACTGAAACACAGTTATACACGGTCATACATACTTACTTTAATATCTAAAAAATATATTTCAGCAGACATAATAAAACTAATAGCCCTAGAAAATTAAACCTTTCCACATTTCAAAAGCATCTTTGTTTTTGAATGCTAAGTGGAATTCTACGTGTAGACTGTCCCGCACACATAAACAAGTAACCACAGACAGTGGGATTGTTTCTCCAGGAAGATCTACCTTCCTGTTCAGGTAAAAGGTCCAAAAGCCAAGAAGTTCAAAAATCCATGTAACTATTATTCCAAGGAAGTGGACTGACACATGACAAACAAATCTCCTGATAATGGTGGATACAAGTATCTTCACCCTGGGATAAAGTACAAAAGCACATGAACCTAAATCACTGAGATGACACCCAAAACAACAACACTCGTAGGAGCTCTCCACAGGTGTTGTCAGAAGCCATCACAAAGAGTCATATTTAATCCACAGAACAGTCACAGAGCCAAATAGTACTACTCTCATTTTACAGCTTGGGCAAATGAGGCCAAGGGCTCATTCTTTACAGCACATTCTCCTGGGGGGAAAAAGAAATTGAGCATGCGCCCACAATGTGTGTATATTTAGCTCTAAATTAACTATAAAAACCAAAAAAAAACTCACTGCCGTTGAGTCGATTCTGACTCATAGTGACCCTACAGGACAGAGTAGAACTGCCCCACAGGATCTCCAAGGAGCAGCTGGCAGATTCAAATTGCCGACCTTTTGGTTAGCAGCTGTAGCTCACCGTACGTCTTAACCACTGCACCACGAGGGCTCCGTATTAACTACAGGGACCCCTGTTAATCCCAGGACAGAAAACAATCATTTCCCCACTTTCCTATAAAGGATTTGCCCAAACCTTTGTTTTAGAACCAACTAATAATGACAAGAAAGAGAGATTTTAAAAAGAATATTAAAAGTCCTTCCTATAAAAAAAACAAATTAAACAGTGTGAGTTTTGGAAGAGCGGCTTGGGTTCCCATCCCAGCTCCACCACTTCTTAGATGTGTGGGCTCAAGACGTTATCTGATGTCTCTGGGCCACAGTGCCTGGCGAACAACAACTTTACAAGCTCATTGCCAAGCTGAGGGAGCTGATGCGTGGAGGCACCTATGCAGAGCCCAACGGGCGGTGGGCAGACTCCATCAGTGTCACCACCCACCCTCTCATCAACTGGCTATCCAGCAGCTCCTGCCTGTGCAGCCCAGGAAATAGTTCTTGGGTGCCACCAGGCCCAACTGACGGGTTTGACTCTGCTTTTCTCCACAGTTAAAGAATACGGAGGAGGGAGGGCCGGAGTATATTATCTGCCCTGCTGTCCCCTCTGCTATCACAGCCTTAGCCCAAGCAAGAATGAGAGGAGAAAGTGGCATTCTGAATTGGAAAGCAGTGGCAGAGGGCCCAGGGGCTGAGGTGTCCACCTGACCTGAGACCCCCTGGGAGTTTAAGAAGCTGAACCGGGATTGAAATACTGGGAGATAGACCAAAAGATTCTATGGTGTGAAGATGGACTTTTTATCTTTAAGAGAAAATTCTCACTAATTCTGGATGTCACATTAAAGATATGCTTTTTTAAACTAGGAGCTGCCCTGACATGATTTAGACAATGGTGATATTATTTCCAATCAAAAGTAAGTAAATAGTTCTAATTTATGCAAAGGCCAAAAGGGAAGCCATCCTATAAATTTTATTAGAAAGAAAGAGTGTATGGTCCTGTTAATGCTGCCACTCCCAGGAGCAGACTGCAAACAGAGAGCATCCATGGCTGCAGCTGTCTGTTATTTAGTTTTTGAGAGTGGCTGATAGGTAGGGGAAAAGGTTAATATTTACTACAAATTTTCCAGATCTTAAATGTTATATACATAATTATATATACATATAAGAGCCAAGCTGGGACCCATGGAAAGAAGAAACAAACTTCCTCCTCAGGCTGTCTTGAAACTGCTATGTTTGTTATGGGATGTGGGCTGTTAAAGTATCAGAAGGAGCTGAACCATGGTGTTAAGTGTTGAACTGTGTCTCCCCAAAAAGGTATGCTGAAGTCCCAACCCCCCTACCTGTGAATGTGCTCTTATTTGGAAAACAAGATTAAGTTAAGATGAGGTCATTAGAGTGAGCAAGACTGGTGTCCTTATAAAAAGAGAAGAGACACAGATACAGGGAAGACGGCCATGTGAAGATGGAGGCAGAGACGAGAGTGATGCTGCCATAAGTCAAGGAACCCCTGGACCCACCAGAAGCTGGAAAAGACAAGGAACAATCTTCCCCTGAGCCTTCAGTGAAGCATGGCTCTCCTGACACCTTGATTTCAGACTTCTAGCATTCACAACTGTGAAAGAATAAATTCTTCTCATTGTAAGCCATCCAATATGTAATCGTTACGGCAGACCTAGGAAACTAATACACATGGTGTCTCAGTTATCCAGTGCTGCTATAACAGAGATACCACGAGTGGACAGCTTCAACAAAGAGAAATTTATTCTCTCACGGTCTAGTAGGTTACAAGTCCAAATTCAGGGCATCAGCTCCAGGGGAGCTTGTGATACATCAGCCTTCCCTTGGTCTGGAACATCTCAGCACAGAAACCCCAGGTCCAAAGGATGCACTTTGCTCCCGGCACTGCTTTCTTGGTGGTATGAGGTTCCCATGTGTCTCTGCTCACTTCTCTCTTTTATATCTCAAAAGAGATTGGCTTAAGACACTATCCCATACTGTATACCTCATCAGTATAACTGTCACTAATCCATCTTAATACATCACAGTGATAGAGTTTACAACACATAAGGAAATAACATCAGATTATAAAATGGTACAGAATCATACAATACTGGGAATCATGACCAAGTTGACAGATATTTTTGGGCAACACAATTCAATCCGTGACACTTGGGTCAACTGGAAAAGACACTGTAATATGGAAAAAACCTAGTCTATACACAGCTTAGAGAAAATTTACTCCTTTGAACTTGGCTTGTGAAAATGTTTAGTCTGTCCCTTGATGCCCAATGACAAGGTGTAGTCAGTAAAAAAAATCCCCATACTCAGAGATGCACACCTGCCTCTGAACTCTGTGCCTGGTGCTGAGGACAGCAGATGGCCACTAGGGTGCCACACTCTGCTGCAGGCTGTGCAGGAACTTCATTGCAGGTATTCCCACACATCACCCTCTTTAGTCCCTACAGCACCCCTGGTGGTGAAGGAACAGAGCCTCCAAAAACTTAAATAAGTTGCTCAAGGCAAAGTGAGCAAATGCCATGGTGGGGCTCTGACCTCATCTCTTTCTACTGTCAGGCTGCATGGCCACCTAAAGTAGCCTGGAAAGATACAGACTGGAAAACCCAATAAACGGGTGTGAGTAACTGCTTCAAGTTAACACTTTATTAGTGTCAGACAAAAGGAGAACTATTATGGATTTTACTTCAGGGGATTATAATATGTCTATAGAGACAATTTAAATAATCTCATTACTGAATCAGTCTTTCTATACATGAAGATCAATACAACAACAAAAATTCAATTCATAATTCACTCAAAAGGTGCCCAATTTCTATCAGCAATCTACAGGAGTTTAACATTAAAATTTTGCTTTTACTACCTAAGAGGTAAAATTTGAGAAGTGTAATAGTTTTCTTCTCTTCATCCATAACTGCACTAAGCCAGGGGCACAGCTGGCGAATCCCACCTTCATTGCTAACTGTGTGGTAAGGATCAGCATGAATCCAGTTCCCAAAGTGTGACAGCGGCGGTCTAAAGACAGCCTTCACTACCCAGGCCCTACTGCATTAGAAGCAAGATCACCAGAAAGCTCTTGTCTGAGCTAAATTATCTTAAGAATAGTAGCAAGGCCTTCACCATATTCTCATTAAGTGCCATCCTTCACGGTATACTGAAGGTGGTTTTGTGCTTTCTTTTAAACCTTTGTGGAAGACACTAACTCTGATGCTATTCAACATGTTTTACACAAGAAACCACAAGGTAACTTCACCCATATAGTTTAGTGCCAGGAAAAAAGTGGATTTTTCTCCTGACAAACATTTTATCAATGAAAACTACAATCTTTCTCATTTTCCTTTTGCTTTAGCTGCCAATAAGCTTGGTAGAAAACCCACCAATTACTATTATTTTTATATTATTTTATCTAGTCTTCCTTCAGTGTGTAAATTCTTTATAACTGAATCATAATGAACATGGAATTCTACATCCCGCTTCTTTCCACAAGTTTATCAAAATTATTACTAAAACCACAAGCAAGTCAAAATTATATAACATTCCTCTTACCCTTTACCTGTGCTGTTCTGGAAAACAAGTGGGCATAATATAAATCATAAACATTCTTCTCTGAATGTATGAAAACACCTTAGAAAATACAAACTTTACAGCTGCCTACAATGCAGATTTATATTTGGTAAAGAGAAAAAATAAATTTTAAACAATTTTACATAGTCCTGTTTTCTTTCATGCTAACTCACTATAGTTTAGCTATAAATTAAGAGTGATTCCTCCAAATTTTATAATAATTTTGAATATCATAAACAAAGCAAATTTTATTTTTATAAACTGATTTTCCTATGTTTAACAACTGAATCATGTAAAAATCATAGTGGTCTCTTTCATCTGCATCAGATTTATAGGAAAATATTTAAATTTCCAAAGTAAGTGCATACAGTCAAACTGTCTCCTAGGAAATGTAGTGACTAACATTATAACTAACACCATGTTATGAGGTTACGATAACTAGTTAGTGGTGTGGACAGTAAGTTTAACCACGTCTGTCTGATGTTAAAACTCAATTTTCATCACCACATAGTACAGCCTCCTAGCACATTCTTCTACCTCTCACTGGCTGGAGCTATATTATTGCAAAGCAGTGAGAATAAAGAGTTTAAGAACATCACAGTGTGAATCCTCAATTTATTTTCT